CAGGATCAACTTGCAAACCCTCACGAGAAATACGGTACCCAAGATAAGTTGTGTCCTTGGACCCAAACACGCACTTCGACCGCTTCAGCTTTAACCAACATCGCGTAGCCGATCCAACACTTTACAAACATCACGAACATGCTCCTCCCACGTCCCCTCCGAGTGGATCAAGACATCATCAATGAAGTCAGCCGTCACCTCTGGCATATCGCAAAGAACCTCGTCCATCATTCGCTGAAAAGTTGCTGGAGCATTGTTCAAACCAAACGGCATCACCAAAAACTCGTACAAACCAAATGGTGTACGAAAAGCAGTCTTAGGAATATCGTCTTCAGCCATCGGTACTTGCCAATACCCAGAAGCAAGATCTAGCTTGGTGAACCAACGACTTCGCCCCAGACGATCCAAGAGATCAGCAGTGTGAGGAAGAGGGTACACGTCCGGGATCGTCACTTCATTTAACGAACGATAGTCGATGCAGAAACGAATACTCCCATCAGGCTTCGTCACAAGATGAGGTTCACATGCCCAAGGACTCCGCGACTTCCGAATAACACCCTTCTCCAACATCTCCTTGACGTTTGCACGTAAAATCTTGATCTCCTTGGGTGACCGACGACGAACAGGAACCTTGATTGGACGAGCATCCCCGGTTGGAATGGGATGACATGTGGCAATCTTGGCCCCAGACGATAGGTCAAATTCAAAGAGATCAGAATACTCCTTCATGAGCTGATCAACAGCTGCAACACAAAGATCATCGGAGGGATCGGAAAAGGGAAGAGCAGAACAAGATGGAAACACAAGAGGAAATAATGGGGGAACAAAAGTAATGGAAGCAGAGGTAGAAGTAGAGGGACGAAGAGGTACAGAAGTGAGAGGAATGGATGAAACATAAGGAAGTATGAGACAAGGGGGAAAAGCCTCAAAGTCACACTTGGCATGATTGTGCTGCAACCAATCCATACCAAGAATGAGGTCAAAAGCTTGACTCGGCACCACCCGCAACGACTGCAACTCAAGCTTGAGATCGCCCACACGCACAACCAGGTCCGCCTCATCTCGTGCACATGCATGTGTACGGCCGTTGCCATAAAGAATGAAAACTGGATCTGCCGCATGACGCAAGTGTAGACGACAACGTGTGGCAACAGGTCGAGCAATAGAAGATAAACTCGAACCTGTATCAACCAACACGGAGAGAAGAATAGGAGACCTCTTGTTATAAAAACGAGCTTGGAAAGTAAACACTGGATGAACCGGTGCCGAGTGAACCCCTTGATGATACTCCCGAAAGAAAGATGGAGGGGTCACTAACTTATTCGCGCAAGGTCCCTCCATTACTCGCGCGACTCCTCGTTTCCCGAATGCACCTCGGTATCCAAACCTTCCACCGCAGCAGCACCAACGGGACGTTGCTGACGCCAAGGTCTCCACCCAGGAAATGGAGGTCGCCAATCCGGAAAGCGCCGACAACGCCGATAAGTATGACCAACTTCATCACACGCCCAGCAACGAATGTCACGGCCACGACCACGTCCTCGCCCTTGTCCTTGGACTCAAGTAGCAGCAGCATCAACTTCCATGGGAACAGGACCATCACTCATAGGAAGTGGAGCTGAAGGACGTGTAGCAAGAAGTGGAAGAGGCGACGTCTCATAACGTTGTGCCAAGCGAAGAGCATCGTCAAGAGTGGCAGGAGCAAGTGCATGCACAAGTCCGACAAGATCTTGACGAAGTGCTGGCCACAGCATTCCTAGCTTGATCCGCTCCGACATATTTGGCTCCGCACGAAGCAAAAGACTTCGGAAACGAACGCCAAATTGCATCACCGACTCAGATGGCCCTTGGCGAAGACGATGCAATTGTTGGAAGGCATCATCACAATCGTCGGCGTGTCCGAAGGCGAGTTTGAAGACGTCCGGAAGAACACTCCAATCGCCACGAGTAGCTGCGCTCAATCCATTGTACCACTGCAATGCCGTCCCTTGAAGACATGTGGGGAACTCACGCAAACGCCGAGCATCATCCCAAGAATGATATGTGGCAATCACCGTGAAGTGATCGAACCAATGGTACACATCATCCCCAGGATTCCCACGAAAGAACTCCGGCCGAACGCGAGGATTGGCACCAAAAGCAAGAGGAGTTGTACCATGTGCCGTGAACGCCGCCATCAACTGAGTTTGGTTGTTCAATTGCAGGCGCATAGCATCAAGCAATTGAACCAACTGCTGCTCTAGAGTCAAAGGAGGAGATTGCGGATCGGCCATGAAAATGAATGAGAAAGAAAGAGCAAAAGAAGAGAAATGACAAAAAGCTAGAAAGAAATGGTAGATCTAGACAATGCAAAAAGCTAGATCTAAACCAAAATCCTGAAAGGAAAGAACAAAAGAAAGGAAATGGAAAAAGCTAGATCTAGACAATGCAAAAGCTAGATCTAAACCGAAATCCCAAATCCAAGCACTCCCCAGGGACAATCAAAGGTGCCCCTCACCTCCACCAATGTGAGTGCATGGAATATAGAAAGGGAATACAGAAATGTGCATATCAATTAACCCAAAAACCCTAGCTTATATACAGGAGCGAGTGGTCCGGATTGAAACCAATCCGACGGCTACCAAAATCCACTACGCTAATATTAGTATACGGCATCGTAGCCGTACACTTGGCCCTCACAATGTTTAATAATGTATTTTTGTTTTAAAAATAAAATAAAATATTCTATCTACTATAGATACCTTCTATCTAATTTTCAAGCATATTACTGTCATTATCCAAATGAACCAAATCCAATCCACTCAGATGGTTCATATGCAATAGTTATCTGCACATTAGTATATATATGTACTAATCTGACACCTCTCCAGAAGATATAAAAGTTTGACGAGTATAAACTTGATAGAACATCTTTTATTTGCTAAAAGTCAAAGAAGAAGTTGCTCAAGGCCAACAATGTGTCCGAATGGATTCTGTGAGCGATGAAGCAGCGAGCTTCGCGACTACTGTTGAGGAGGCATTGAGCCACGAAGGGTCAAAGCTAGAGGAGACCCCCTCTCTCATGTCAACGACAATGAATGTAATGGAAATGGAAACGGCATTCCAAATAGTTGCGTTTCATAGCTCAGTACAAGCTCATGTGTTTGGCAGCAACAGTTGCTTGAAGCTCACAGTCTACCGCCCAACCTGGGAGGATTTCCCAGCACTCTCAAGGATAAAGGCATAGACATTTCCAGAGTGAAGGTAACAAAAATGTTCATCCAAATTTTGCTTTAAACACTCTTCCCGCGAGATGAAGTCTCACAAGCAGAAGTCAAAGAAGAAGCTGCTCAACGCCAACAAAGAAGCTGAAGATCCAGTGCGATGGCTGGTGCTCCGAGGGTGGAGCACGGATCACGAACCTCTCCATCATCCCACCGGATCGTCGAACGAGAGCTCTCGACATTGGTCCGACACCCGCGAGTTGTTTACCGGTAATAAATGTTCCGGTATCATTTCAATTTCTCCTTGCTTTGAGCACTGCTGTCCTTTCGATTTTCAGTGCGAAGGAAAGTTTGATAAAATCTATCGAACTCTTCCTTGGGAGAAATTTTAAGGTTTGATTTTCTCCGAGAAAGTTATACTACTTTGGTTGCCACTTAGCATTGGATTCCTTTCCAATGACAAGCCAAGAGCAAAAGAAATGCATGGAGAGAAGCCGCTCGATCGAAATGCGTGCTTGGAGCTTATCAGATCGTGCACGACACTATCCATGGCCAAGGAAGTTCACTCGCGAGTGGAGCACCGCCTTGCGTCGGATTCATTCGTCGCAAACATGCTTCTGCAGCTCTACGACAAGTGCGGGAGCATCAGCTCGGCCCGGCGAATATTCGATAGCATTCCCCGCAAGGACATTTTCTCCTGGAACTTCATGCTCTCTGCATATTCCCACAAAGGGCATCTGGAGAAAGCAAAAGTGACATTCTTGGAGATGCCCGCGAGGGACATTGTTTCGTGGAACACACTGGTGGCGGCATTTGGAAGCAACGGTCGGGTCGAGGATGCGGGACGCGTGTTTGACCAGATGCCAGAGAGGAATCTCTCCTCGTGGACGGCTTTGATCCTAGCATATACCTGGAACGGGCATACGCATGGCGCTAGAGAGGTCTATAATGGCATGCCCGAGAGAGATCTCGTCTCATCCACGGCAATGCTCTGTGGATATTCTCAAACCCAGATTCTCGATGGCGCAAAGGAAATCTTTGAGGAAATGGAAGTGAGAGACATTGTGTCGTGGACATCGATGCTGAGCGCATATGCTCAGAAAGGGAAGCTCCAAGATGCCGAGAGAATGTTCGATACGATGCCTGAGAGAAACTCCGTGTCATGGACTGTCTTGTTGGTCGCTTACGTTCGAGCTGGAAACTTGAGACTGGCAGAGAAAATATTTGATGAAATGGAGGAACGCAGTGTTGTCTCGTGGGGAGCAATGGTGACAGCATATAACCAAATCGGGGATCTTGACAAGGCTAGAGCAGTGTTTGATTCCATGCCAGAGAGAACACAAGCTTCATGGAACACCATGCTGACGGGATATGCCCACAACGGGTATATCAAAGAAGCGGAGCTCTTGCTTGACTTGATGCCTGAGAAGGACTCCATAACTTTCTCTGTGATGCTAGTATGTTATGGGCAACACGGTTTTGTGGAAGAAGCTAAGCACGTATATGATTCCATGCAAGGGTGGGACATGGCTGTCACGAATGCAATGCTCTTAGCATATGCCGCCCAGGGGCATCTGAAGCTTATGCTGGAATTCATGTTCCAAATGCCAGAAGTGGACTTGGTTTCCTGGACTACAATATTAACAGCATTTGCACGTTCTGGGAACATTGCCCAAGCAAAGGTTTTGTTTGATAGGATGCAAAATCATGATTTAATTGCATGGAATGCTATGCTAGCTGCATATGCTCAAAGTGGATATCCCGTTGAAGCTTTAGAAGTTTCTCATTTGCTTAAGATGGCTGCTGAAATTCCTGATGGAATTAGCTTTGCAAGTGCCCTCATGGCATGCAGCCATAAAGGAGATATCGAAAGAGGGCTCTCATTGTTTAGATCGATGATAGGAGACTTTGGAATTTGGCCGGAGAGGCAACACTTTTGCTGGATGATAGATCTTCTGGGTCGTGTTGGGTATTTAGATAATGCCAATGATCTAATAAGAGAAATGCCAGTTGAGCCAAATGTGCTTGACTGGCGATGCTTGCTTGGAGCTTGTAAAAGTGTCAAAAATGAAAAATGTGGATTGGCAGCAATGGAAGAAGTAATAAGGCTGGATGAAAAAAATGCAGGGGCATTTGTGCTATTTGCCCATATATGTTCTCTTGTCTAACATATTTATTAAAATTATTTGATTTTTAAATAATTCATTTTATATCAAATATATCAATAATAAGTCATTATAAGTCATAGATACTCACAATGAATTATTAAAAATAATAACTAAAAATTAATAAAATACTAATTAGCAAAACGAAATTGAATTCCAGTAAGATAAAATAGAATTAAAATTATTATAATGATTTTTAAAAAATATCTAGTTTCTAGAATAATAAATGAAGCAGCAAAATTTAACATATCTCAAATATAATCTTGTTAAAGTTTACTAATATCTGTTCTAATAATAACTCATAATATTTATTCATCTCTAAATAAGGAATCAATTCTTTATCCAAAGATTAAATCTGAACTCTGGAACAGAAACGTCTATGGAGTCTCAACTTATTTTTGAGCTTAGGAAGAAATATTTTGTAAGTGACTAATTTTTCCACTCTAATTTAATCACTTAACCACACCTCCGACCACTTGGAGGAGTCTCATTCACAACCTCTTTAAGTCCAATTCAGGACTTAAGGACTTGCTAGCCCCGAGAATAGCATCCATGCCACTCATCCCTTGCACTTAGTCCAAGTGCTCCACGTGCTCGGTCCCAAGACCAACACCCCAAGGTACCACCAACATACTAGTCTATTACACTAAGGCCATGCCCCTTCACCTTGGTCATATCGGTGGTTCAACACCACCTGCATCGCAGTCCTGTCTCTCAAGGATTAGGCCATCTGTCCAGTAGTGACCATCCAAGATCCACTCCTTAGCATCCTTAAAATGTCCGCAGACATGGGGAACAGCCTTCCCCAATATCCCTTTTACAGTCCCCACCAAGTCCCTTTTCTGCCCATGGCCGTGTTCGCCAACACTGCCACTGGGACAGGGCCCATAGGCCCGACCACTAAGTCCCATTGTCCTCTGGGACTTCCTCACTACATGACCGTATCATTAGTCACTACACCAGAGGTCCACTCCTCTTCCTTTCCATAGTCTGGGACTTTGGGACAACATTTCGGAACACCGTGGCCTTATGCAAGCTTCATGGGTACCCTCCCCACCTTCCGCCTTTTGGTGCTTTAGCCATGGGCTTAGAGTGAGGTTCCGTTGAGCCACGCCAGGTATCCAAGTAGGTAGTGCCACCCACACTTGGACTGGGAGCATCGACCATTCGATCTCCCGAGGGAACTAAAGCCGACTCTTGAACACTTCACCAAGTTACCCCACTTGACAGTTCGTATTCACTCTAGCCTTGGACCTCCCAGTGGTTATCCCGTCTCCCAACACTTGGGCACAGCCTTCCTAGGCCAAACTGGCTCCACTTGAGTCATCCCCCTACTATACTTTTGGAGCTTACCAAACCCTCCAGGGTCTGGGAGACAAACGCTTTGGGCTTTCACCCTCTTAGACTTGAACTCGGACTCGGACTTGGATTCGGACTCGGACTCGGACTCAAACTCGGACTTGGACTCGGGCTTGGGCTCGGTCTTAGCCTCGGCCCCGGTCTCGGTCTCGGTCCCGGTCCTAGTCCTGGTCTCGGTCCCGGTTTTGGTCTCGGTCTCGGTCTCGATTTCGGACTCCATCTCGGGTCCTTCTCGGACTCCATCTCGGATTCCATCTCGGGTCCATCTCGGACTCCATCTCGGACTCCATCTCGGACTCCATCTTGGACCCCATCTCGGTCCATCTCGGACTCCATCTCAGACTCCATCTTGGGTCCATCTCGGACTCCTTTATTGCTCACTTCATGCTTGTTTCTTGAGAACTCCGTTGGGAGTTCCACTCGCGCTCTCGACCTTTCAAGTTGGAACCTTTTAGTCCAAATGTGTTATGTTTGTTTAGCTTTCGCTTTGGCCACTACCACATGGCACCCTTTTGGCTCCACTTTGGGGCTTAGGGATTTGTGTCTCACAACACCACCCATCGACAAAGTTTGATGTCCTTATCGAATGATAAACCATTTTATAAAGTAACACCAGCATGTATTACCTTTTCCATCTTTGGCACCTAGCCCATATTTATCAATAGTTTTACACCGAAGGCTTGCCATGCCTTGTCCAACCTCTAAGGAGCATAGTGTCTCCAACATAAAGACTCATTTAACCACCTCAAGTGGTTCTCTCCCTTTTATTGGTTTAGCTCTCGCTAAACTCATTAGAAACACCTTTTCTAGCTCAATCCCATTATTCATTCTCGAGTAGTCTCAACTTCTATTGATATAACCAGTTCACGTTGGAACTTTTAATTTTGACTTCTCGAAGTCAATTTCTTTGGTGTCTTTAACACCTTTCATTGCACATATTGTGCAACTTCACTTCCCTATCTTAGAAAATTTTCCACTTGAGGGCACCATCATTCTCCTTTCTATTTTGTGCCACCTTTGGCACTAAGTTCCAGCTATCGTAAGTTGTGCTAGAGTTGTCCACGGCCCTATCATTTGGCTACTTTGCCGCTCCCTCCCTTGGAGCTTTCACCTTTGCCAACTTGGAGCATTTAGGAATCCATCCTTGGAAGCACATTTCCTTTCTCACAATCTGTTAGTATCCAACATAATGTTCCATACCTAACTTTGCTATTTGTATTCCTTCCAATGAACTCCATGGCCCACATTTGGCTACTAGTCTTTTGCTTTTATCTATTGATTGTTGCACTGGGCAACATAGGATCACTACCTCCATTCTCGAGATATCCTTTTTGGTTCTGTGGCAAAGGCTCTACTTTGCTAAGTCCAGAGGGTGCTCACCTCTAATAGGTCTCTTTAGCATTTTCTGCCACAAGTTTCGTCCACGACCCAACTTTGTAACCCTCCCATAGGTCTCTCCTAGAGACTATTTTCTTGGACTTATTATACCATCGTTTTGGTACAACTGATTTCCCTTTAAGTGTCCTTCCCACTTAGTCACCTTGACCAAGCCACACCATTCTCAATAGTTCAACTCAACACTTTGAACTAGGAATTATATTCCTTAACCCAAACAAAGACTTTGTCCTTGTTTAGCTATAAGATTACCTAGTGATCTTATTTTGACCCCTTAACAAGTCTACCAATAAGAACTAAGTCTTTCAGACCCTTTTAAATTGTTGACTATGACCCCGGGGGCATCCCCCACGCTTGGTGGTGTGCCCAAGCTAGCCCTTCTAGCCAAGGATCCATAGCAATTGAGACTGAGTGTCCCCATCTCATTCACCACGTCTTTGGTGCCTTTTGCACCAAAGTATTCAAATTAGATATACCGAACTTTCACTCTAAGCAATCTAACTGTACATCATGACTCCGGGGCATCCCCCGCTTTGTGGTGTGCCCAAGCCAATCTCCTCATTGAGAGTCCATGACCACTGAAATATGAGTGTCCTCATATTCCAAATCATCACTTCGCCCTAGTGATTTGGGACTCGAACCCAAGCACTAGAGGGTTGGGACTTGAACCCAACCTTCGTATATGCATCTACGGACAGCATCACCCTAGATGCTTGGCATGACTCCCCGCGCCAGTGCACCAATTTATATCCAAAGCACGTTACGAATCATAGCTTAGGAATCTAGTCTCTCTAAATTGCCAAGTCCTCTCACTTGACAAGTCTATGATCATGCATGGACTCTTCCATGTTTGGCCCCATGGGCCACCCCTTTTGAAGTTAGCACCTTCAACTAGGGGATTCATTCCCCTGACTTGCCATTCTCGCTTAGCAAGTCATTCAACCAATGTAACATGGTTTCATGCATAAGCGTAAAAGTCCTTAACCATCAACTTTTGTTGAAAGTTATCCTTTTGAACACTCGGGAACTATTTCCCCAACCTTGATAGCATTGCTTTATGGCAAGTTTCAAGACCACACTTTTGCTATGCCACTCTAATTTTGTGTGTTTTATGAACCATTTACACTTGGCTTTTTAAGTACTACACTACCTAGAATTATCTTTGGGAACCTTGAAGGAACTTTGTCCCTTAGCTTGCTAAAGCTTTTCCTTTCGCAAGCTTTTTAATAGACAATTCCATGCTTTAGACTCTTCATGGCACTACGATTGCTAGTAACAACATGCTCGAGTGCCCACTTGATTCTCTACTCCCAACTAATATAACCACCTTTGGTTATACTCTTCGATTCCTATGGTTTGGTTCTATCCCCTTACTACTTGCTTTTGGCCTCACACATTTCCTTCGGTTATTCATCTCCAAAATAGGAGAATGGTTTTGCACTTTTTACCATGCCTTAGCAAGTATTCTTGGGGATGAACCTACCCAATAGCTTAGGGAGTGGTTCCTCAATCTGGGTATGGTCACCTTATAATCCCACATACCAAGATTAATGTTGCTACATATGGGCCTTTATATGCCCATCACTAGCCTTGCCAAAATTCCATTTTTGGCTTTGTCTAATTCGGGTAGACGAACTTCTCCCGTCTTCGCAACTTTAGACGTTTGGATAGCACCTTCAATTCATCATTCGCTAAGAACTTAGTCTCTTGGGCCTTATCTATTGCCCTCGTGATATCAAACAACACCTCCTAGTGTTCTAGAGTGTTTGGGTGTCCTAATGATGGCATCTTTGCCAACGAACATTCCCTTTTATGACATTGACTTACTATATCGGCACATAAACAATTTATCCCCCCATAAAGGTATATCTAACTTCCTTATGCCATTAAGAAGTCTTGGGTAGTGTCAAGACCCCCAACAAAATCAAGACTGGAAAATGCAAAAGACAAAGAGAAAAGTTAGTGGAAACGAAGAAAAGGCCTTAGACTGGTGTTGATTTAGATTGTGGAGAAATGGAACAAGGCTAACCTATATATACTATAGGTCGATGAAACTCCACCACTCATGGATCGAGGACGGCCTAAATATAGCTGAGGTTGAGGAGGCACCACATCATCATTAGGAATGTGGCTTGAGACTCAAGAATCATATGGGAAATCAGAGAGTCAGGAATAGGGAAGTGTCTTGAGAGTCAGGAATATGGTCTGCAGGTCAGGAATCCAGCGAGAGTCAGGAATGTGGCAAGAAT